ATCTGAGTCACATGTATGTCAGGTAACTTTTATCAATAAAAAAATACCATAGTTTAATGTTTCACCTAGATAAATGCTTCAAGGGTTTTAGGTAGATTTGTGGCTCATGAAAGCTTAAGGCCTCATTCACACGAGAAAAGGCCAACACGTACAGCTCTGTGCTGTGTGAACGGCCGTATCGGGCAGCTCCCGGGAAGGGAAGGTGCTGCGTGTGATTAGTATGCAGTCCCTGTCCTTCTCTATGGGAGTAAGCGGCCATACGTCGCCCTACGCTCACCCCAACTGCCGGTCCGTACGGGTGCGGGTGTCCCGGCTCGGACGCAGACAGAATCCATCCTGTCAGCGTACGAGTACAGACACCCGCACGGACATGCAGGGTGTGTGAGCGTAGGGCAGTGGATGGCCGCATACTCCCATATAGAAGGACAGGGGGTGCGTACTAATCACACGCAGCATCTGCCCTTCCCGGGAGCTGCCCGATGCGGCCGTGCACGCAGCACGGGGCTGTACGTGCCAGCTTTTTCACGTGTGAATGAGGCCTTTGTAATAAGGCAGAGTTTAAGTATTCTTAAAATATACAGTAAACCATAGCAACCTATTAGCTTTCAGTGTACCAAAGGTACTTTCTTTAAAGTTATTTCTGATTGGCTGCTATGATAACTGTCCATTACTGCCAGTCTTTACAGTGCCTTATTGAATATGTCTAATTTTAACAATCACTATACAGCTTAAAGGCAGTCCCCTACTACTGGTACAGGGCTAGTTGATTTTTCTAGTAAAAATTATTTTCATATATATGGATTTGACTTGGAACATACAAACTGGGCCCCTGAATACATATGGGGAAATTAGCTCCTTCTTTTAAGCCGCAGCTCGAACCTTGGAAGTATTCCAATTACATTATAGCATGCATTAGTGTAACCATAATTATATATGTATCTAGCTTCCCTATTTTCTAAAGTTTATGATTGTCCACTAACTGTATTGGCGTCTCTGTATTTTAGTAACATTTTTGCTTTTGCTCTGTTTAACAAAACGTTTTTAAGCTTGGCGCACTTCACGCTTCTATTCAATCCTGCCTTTTTAGCCATTTTACATGAGACACTGTTAGCTAGCAGCTGGAAACATCTGGAGCTTATGAGTTCCAAATATCAGTCATCTGCCAAAGTTCCAAAAACTATAATTACAGGACCTTGAAAACCTCAACAAAAATCAGCACAGGATACTACTTACAAGCATTTTGCCTAGCTTTATAATTTTTTTAGTAGTCCAGTAATGTGCAAATAGACTAAATTGAGGAAACAGCTTCTTACCTCCATTTTCTGAAACAAGAATCTGAATTTTTTTAATTGGCCCATTGACATCACTGAAGTAGCATATTGGCATTTTAACAGTAATAGTAGTTGATGTAACCACGACACTCCCAGTCGAGTCATAAATGGGTACAGGTTTCATTATGGGATGAGGTGGTTCTGATGGCAAAAAACAGTAATCTACTTTAATATGATGAATTAAAAATGTGCTATACAGTATACTATTTCGCGGTTTTGAATGGAATACACAGCTAGCTGTTTTTTGTTTTTTTTACACTATTAAAATTGACCAATAATCCAAATATTACACACTATCTAAACCCAATAACAAAAATGTTATATATTACATTAATGTATATCACGCGTATATTAATGTTGTGTTTTTTATCTTTTCTTTTCACTTGATGATACTGTCGGTAGCACTTCCTCTCTTAAACTGGCCATGCTCATTCACGGTACTGTAGTTATGGAGCGTTGTTACCAGGGATGCACCGATACCTTTTTTTCGGTATCGAGTATGAGTACCGATATTTATCGATGCTAGGAAGCCGGCTTCCCAGTCAATCAGCATCAAGCTGGCCAAACTGCATGGAGCCGGCTTCCCACCCAATCAGGAAGCCGGGAGGCAGGTCATTACCTGATTGGCCAGGAATCCAGCTCCATGTTCCCTTGTGGCACTGCTGGTCAGAGGAAATCTCCCACTGACTGGAAATTCCAGTATCAGGGGTAAGTACCGGAGCATTTGGGCGAGTACTTGATATCGGCAATGATACTAGTATCGGTATCGGTGCATCCCTAGTTGTTGCCCGATGACAGGGAGTGTGTTCAGACTACAAAATGCCAATCCCTCTCCTAACCTCCAGAACATAGAAGGGGGCAGTATTTTACAGCGGTAACCTGGGTAGGGTTAATAACACTGCTTGAGATAACAATGTAGAGTGCAACTTGCAAGCTCATGAAATTCTGGCAGGATGAATAGTTATATTTTGCACTTATTGGACATATATAACAAAACTCTTTCAATTATACATTTACCAGTACTGCAGTCTGACTGAAATTATAGCTTTAATATTTGCATATCCATGTTCTGTGAGATAAATCTATATATATATATTTTTTAAGACTCTATTCAGACGCGTGTGTTGTGGTAGTGCACACTTTACCACATCCCATGTGGTTAATGTTTTTGTATGGCATCTTAATTAACGTTGCTAGTGGACCACAACACACATTCGTTTTAGTACACTACAATATACAGATGTGAACCATCTGTGTGCTGTGGTGCACTATGTTGAAAAAAAATGATGCAGGTCCAATAAAATCTTTCTTCTGGTTCTGGTGTGTTGGCAGCCCATTCAGAATGAATGGACTGCCTTACCTCAAGGGATATTAATAATGTACTTCAATGCAATGGAGATGTCTGACTAGGGCCTATAGTCATTTTATTTTTACAGATCCATATCCTAATAAAAAAAAAGAGAAACAGCCATAACTTTGCATATCAGAACCTTGTGACTTATTTATTACCATGTGCCAGATATTACTTCTCTGTACGGTCACACAGCAGCCAATCTAATTCAAACTTTCTCTGGAAAAACTGTAAATTTTGGAATAAAGGTTTGCTTCTGATTTATTTTTTTATTAGCACATGTTGATAAATAATGTGTACTGTGTCTTAAGAAGCCCATAGACAATAAAGTGAAACTGTCTGGGGAAATTAACTAATAATACACTCAGTGGTATACATGTCACTTATTAGTTACAAGGTTTGGTTTTCAAATGTGGTGTCTGCAGGTACCTTCAGTCCTTAGCTAATGCTGAGATGTCAGCGGAAAAAGTCTGTCAGCTTTTTGCTAGCCAAGAGATTAGTGTTTCTCCAAAATGGGGGTGACTGCTGAGTGACAGACTCAAAATAAGAACATATAAAATATCAATTTGTGCCTTGATTAACTGCACT